TCCAGCCCTTTCTTTGAGGTCCTGCCCCTGCTCCACCCCTTCTCTGAGGCCTCATTCTGCTCACTCCATCCCCCTTCCTCCACCCATCCTCACTCACTTTCAGCATGCTGGAGTAGCGGGTTGGGTGCAGGCTCTGGTCTTGGGCCAAAGGGTTCAGAGTGTTGGGAGGGGCTCCGGGCTTAGGGAGTGGGGTTGGGGTCCAGGAAGGGTTTCAGGGTGCAAGCTCTGGGAAGGAGTTTGGGTGATGGGGAACTGATGTCTGGGGCAGGAGACTGAGTGCAGGAGGGCATTCAGGACTGGGAGAGGGATTCAGGATGGAGGATCTGGCTGGGTACCAATTAACTGAGACGGCTTCCAGGTGGTGGAGCAGAGGAGTTAAGGGAGGCTTACTCCTGCCCTGGCCCTGCACCACTCCGGCTGGGGATCGCAGTGGACAGACGAACACGAACCTGCCCCAGCCAAGGGACATGCAGCCCTCCCCCAGTTGTTCCCGCTGGAGCTGCAGTTGCCATGGAGAAGCACTTCTCACCTGGCCCCAAGGTGCTGCAGAGAAAGTGGGTTGGGACAGTCCCCTTTCCACAAGACAGCCTGCATCCTGATCCCACATCCCCAGACCCAGAGCAATGATTCAAATGAAGCATGTACATTTCAATTACTTTTACAAAAACCAAAAATTAATTGAATTAAAGACTCAGGCCATGCTGGGTAAATCTCCTAGACATATTATATGCTGATTTATAGAAAAAAATTAATTGAATTAAAGACTCAGGCAATGCTGGGTAAATCTCCTAGATATATTATATGCTGATTTATAGCGTGTTTTGAATTTAGCAGTAGGAAAAAATATCCTATTGGATCTCTTACTTAAATCCTCAACTATATGTTGGCAACCTCCATTATTTCTGAAACTGAACATTATTTTGCTAATAGCCAAGGCAACTCAACTCATTCTGCTATTAAACAAGTTGAAAGAACTGGTAAAAATATTAAATAACCTCTTCTACGAAAGAACATTATTTTATTATTCATCTAATCCCCATGGCAGTGTACTATATGGTGCTACTCATCGACCTTCTGGACGGTTGGTATTTTAATAATTCTTCCCATATTTAAGGCCTTATTCTGGCTTTTCTTGAGCTCTCAACTTTCCCTCTGGGCGCTAAGGCACACATGTACCATGATGATGAGCTCAGTATAAAATGATTGGTGGAGACAGACAGCAAAAAAGGCAGAACTGGGCCCTAAATATGCTTACTAGATTCACCAATCTATATATTTTAAGCAGATCACACCTCAGTGCATAATTTTTGATTGCTTCAGACATTTGTTTCACATGCACACACAACTGTGCTGGGCCACTGTTTTGTTGGCCATAGCAATGTGGAAAAACTTTATTTTTAAAAAAAATTGCATTTATAATGTAAGCTTAGCATCTATAATGTAAGCTTAGCATCCAATTCTGCAGTTTGCTGCTCAGGCAAATAGTCAGTGAGACTACATAAGCCACTAATACCTGCTTGTGTGAAAAAGGCTTTGTAGGACCCTGGGTTTTATTCACACCATATTCCATATTTAACTACACACCATATATTAATTCAATGAAAGTGTAGAATATTCCCCTATAAGAGAGAAAAAGAAACCAGAAGAAAGATGACAATCTCTTTAAGCAGCAGCATAGTGTAAGTTTACTTTACTGCTTATTAATAGCATGATTACTATGCATTGTATTATCTGATTGATACATTTACAAAAACAAATTTTCAGTTGAATAAAACATGATGATAAATTTCATATGCAGTTCTGTTAGTATCTCCTATTTTGTTTTTAGGCATGAACTGTGCTATCAGCCTTGCTTGGAATAGCTGTCTGCTTCTGGCTTATACCATTTTAAATAGCTATTTCTCATGATTTCACACATGCAGAGAAATGGACCATGTTTCCTCTACCGGGACACACACATTTACAAAGCTGCAGCAACACAGCCCCTCCCTTTCCTTATTTTGTAAGGAATTAAATTGTGTGAGCCTTATGAAATTACTCCTCGCTGATATGTTTTGTGCTCTGGCAGCAAATTTACTATTGATTTCTGATTCAGACACTGTGGAATGATTCAAACTCCTCAACGTATCAGCTGAATAACCTTCAGTTATTCTAAGTGCTAAATGAGTTTAGTTTAGAAGATCCATTCTTTCACAAATTAGGGACCCAATTTTTGTTTGACTTGAATAATTTAAATCAAAGAGCTATAATAGGCCTCTCCTGTTTAAATTATTCATTGTTTGGTATTCTTCCTCTTTATATTTTGAACACATCCAGGAAATGTCTGCTATGCCCAGGAAATGTGTAGTGTGTACAGTGGGGGAAAAAGCATTAGAAAATAAAATGAAGGTCAGGTCCAGATGAGTTAATGACATGTAACATATTCTCAGGTATTGAGAAAAAATTGATCCCTATTGCTAAGGGCTACTTTCTAAACTGGAGCAGCAGCTCACCCTATGTCTTGCTGACCTTGGAACTTCATGCAGGGTCAAATGTTCATATAGATTAACTGTTCTTGAATAATTTATCTGATGCGCTAGATACAAATCTTTTTTCTAACATGTTTCTTAAATCTGGGCTATCTGGACAGATTATCTTCACTCTGGTATGTGAAAATTCACAGGGTAGCCTTTGTTTTTCCTACACCCTCCTTCCCCACCAGTCAACACTGACATCAGTCATCCTTCAGGGGTTCAAAGTGGCAGCATAAAGAGAACTCAACATTTTGATACTGTTGAGGCAGATCGACCATTAACTCAAGCCAACAGATCCTGTAGCCGACTAAATTAATGGAGGCTGGGGTTGGAGGAGAGAA